CCTTCCTTCCTTCCTTCCTTCCTTCCTTCCTTCCTTCCTTCCTTCCTCCCTCCCTCCCTCCCTCCCTCCCTCCCTCCTTCCCTTCCCTTCCCTTCCCTCCCTCCCTCCCTCCCTTCCTCCCTTCTTCCTTTCCTCCCTTTCTTGACAGAGTTTCTCTGCATAGCCCTGGCTGTCCTAGAACTTACAATTTAGACCAGGCTGGCCTCAAACTCACAGAAATCCACCTTCCTCTGCCTCCTAAGTGCTGGAATTAAAGGTGTTTGCTACCATACCTTGTTTTTCTTTTTTCTTTCTTTTTTTAAAATTTTATACAGTTAGTTGTTTTGCCTCTATGTAGGTCTGTATACTACATGTGTGCCTGGTGCCCAGAGAAGCCAGAAAAGGGTATTTGATTCCCTGGGACTGGAGTTACATAGAGTTGTCAGCTACCATTATGTGCTGGGAATCAAACACAGGTCCTGTAGAAGAGCCACCAGTTCTCCTAAGCGTTGAACCATTTCTCCAGCCCCAGCCTACCTCCACCCATACTTGCTTTTTAGTAAAGAAGCTGTTCCAGCTTTCTGCTGGATATTGTCAGTGTCTCATATGTTTTGCTATCTACCAACCAATTCTGCCTGCTGCTAACTACTCTTGTTTATTTGAGATGACATCCTACCATGCTATGTGGCTCTGGCTGGCATAGAATTCACGATGTATATCATCCTAGCCTGGAACTAGGTGCATGGCTTCTTCTACCTTTTTATTAACTCTTAATTTTGTGTGGGTGTGTTTGCGTATATGTACCTACCTCAATGTTTAGAGGTCATGTGGGTTCTGGGGACCAAACTCAGGCCATCAGTATTGAGGGCAGGTTCTGTGCCAGGTTACCATCCCTATTAAAACAATAGGGATACTTATTAAATGCACTCCTTGGAAATGGAAAGTATGGTACTGTCACTCATATTCCAGAGTGTACTGAACAAGTGTGAGGGCTTGATGAGGGCGAGGTGGCAAGCCTGTCATTTATCCACATCTATTTCCTATGTCTGATGGATCCTATATGACAAAAAACAAACAAACAAACAAACACAAACCCAACTCATGCTGAAGGAAAAAACGCTTTGAATATGCACATTAAGAAAAAAAATTACACTTTTAATTCTCTTAAAACTCCTGGGTGAAATTTTTAATGAATATAGATTTAATGAAATGTAAAAATAAATATCAAGGCCTTTGAGTTTGGGAGTTTTTTGTTTTGTTTTGCTTTGTTTTGTTTTGTTTTGCTTTCTTTGACATCATGAAAGCACCCTGAGAAAATTCATATGTATATAAGAAATGAGATAAATAAAACCTTATGTGTCCTCAATTTTATTTTATACTTTTTGAGACAGGCTCTCTACTATGTAGCTCTGGCTGTTCTAGAACTTGCTTTGTAAACCAGGAAGATTTCCAACTCTCAGATATTCATCTGCCTCTACGTCCTAAATTCTGGTTTTAAAGGCATGCATCACCACTCTTGGAGGGTACTTTTAACTACTGTCCAAATACTTTTTTACGTTTTTTTTGTTTGTTTTTTTGAGACAGGGTTTCTTTGTATAGTCTTGGCTCTCCTGGAACTCACTTTGTAGACCAGGCTGGCCTTGAACTCCCAGAGATCTGTCTGCCTTTTTCTCCCAAATGCTGGGATTAAAGGTATGGGCTATCACACAGCTCAGCCCAAATACTTCTTAAAATAATTTTGATAAGACACACATCAGTGCTCTTAAGTCAGTCTTTGTTATTGAGAGCAGATCAATTGTTTTGTGGATTTAATGACATCAGTGTTCTGAACTTTGACCTTAATAAGTGTAATATATATCTTCTCTAAATCTCATCTTTTATATACCTTTAAAATGATTTATTTTTATTTTGTATAGATTTGTGGTTTTCCTGCATGGATGGGTGAGGGTGTCAGATCTCCTGGAACTGAAGTTTCAGTTTTTAGCTGCCACATGGGTGTTGGGACTTGAACTTGGGTTATCTAGGAAAGCAGCCAGTGCTTTCCTGAATAATTCAGACTGTCATGTCTTATATAAGCCTTTTAGTTCTTTATTTTGGAGACATTCAGCGATCTTAATCTTCACAGACAAATTCTTTATTAAAGTGATTCCATATTTACATCCTTCTAATATTTTCTCTTGCTTAAATAATACCATGAGGTATAACGAATTTACGATATGCTATGAGAGTTTTTTTCCCTGAAGTGGGGGAAGACAACTCAATGTATGTCTCATAAGATTCCAGTGACAAACCAAAGTTCTGGTTGACCAAACTTTACCCCGAGGAATCAGTATGTTTATTGGACTTACACAGCGTGGGTTAGGATTGCTAACAGCAATGTGGGTGGCCCAAAAGCAGCCCCCTGTGAATTCTTTACAGTATGGATGATGGCTTCCCTATAGCTGCAGAGGTGGTACCCCTCTCCCTAGGCTCTCCCAGCCTATATACTCAAGCTTCTCCCCAAGACCTCAAGACCATGTGTGCTTAGGGCGTAATTGTATACCGTTGGCTGAGAGGAGTGACTGGGTACTCATTTGATTCTGCCCACCCCCAACCCCCAGATGAGGCCTCGCTGTGGCTCTGGCTGGCCTGGAACTCACAATGTGGACCAGTCTGGCCTCAAATGCATGGAGATCCACCTGTGCTGGGTTTAAATGTGAACACCACCACGCCTGGCCATTATCTATGTCATTATAACTGGAAGGTAGAAACAGAAGTAAGAGCAAATAGGGCTTAGGGAAACAGAAGCAGATAAGGATGAAGCAAAGGAGTCTTGGGAAAGGAAAGAACACTGTCTTTAGAGAAAAACAGGTTTAGAGATGCTGGGCAAAGAAGTAGGCGTTAAAACCCAGCATAGCTTTTCTCTCTGGCCTTCGCCTATTACAGCTGCCCCTGGCTGTGGCTTGTTGGACCCTGGTTGGGAACTCAGCCTCCTCATGTTTTTTCCATGCTGCTGCAAATTCACATGAGCTCTCCAAATCCAGACGGCTAGTGTTGGAGGCACGCGACTGGGGAAACCGTTATGTCCCTATGAAAACTAGGACATATGGAAAACAGTTCCTCAAAATTAAACCACTGGAGGTCTGGTTGTTTTTTTGTTTGTTTGTTTGTTTTAAGTTTCCCTGAGGGCTTTGTGGGACCAGGAAGTTTTGTGTGCCATTATTTTGGCTCCTCCCATGCATTAGTTAAGATGGTGGTGAATTCTTATGGTTGTTACCATCTTGATGAGGTCATTAGCTAAGATGGTGACATAGCTCCATGATTATTTTTGCTTTTATTAAGCTCAGCTCCATGGTAAAATGAGCTCAGTACCGTCAGAGCACAAGTCCCCATGGGATTCATGCACGTCAGAGATTAAATGTGGACAGTCACTGCTTTCCTTTAAAAAGATGCCTGACTGGCATGGGTATGTGAGATGGGTATGTGAGACGGTATGTGTGGGCTGTGCATGTAGGTCCCCAAATAGCAAAGCAAAGCGATAGGAAGGGATCCGATTGTGAGTCCATGTATCCTGCCATACAAATTATAAGAATTTTGATTGGGATTACTTTGTGTGTGTAGTTGCTTTCACTAGGATGGCCATTTTGACCATATTAGTTCTTGCAATCCAGGAGCATGGGAGGTCTTTCCAAATCGAGTGTCTTTCTCCATTTCTTTCATTGTAGAAGACTTTTGTTTTCTTCGGTCAGGTTTGTTGTTTGTATTGTAAATAACTTTTTTTCAGACTGCTTGTCTTTTGTCTATAGGAAGGCTGCTTATTTTAGTGTGTTGAGTTTGTATTTATCCATGTTACTGAACATGTTTCTGAGCTCAGTTTTGTGAAGTGTTTAATTAGGGTCTATTATAGAAGAACCATGTCATCTATTGTAGAGATTTTTTCTTTTCCCCTTTGTATCCCTTTCGTTTTCTTCTTTTAGTGCTTTAGTAACACTTCAAGCATTCTCTTGAGCAGGGGTGGAGAAATGGGCACCATTGTCTTTCCCTAACCCTGATTTTAGTGAAAAAGCTCTGAGTTTTTCTCTGTTTGGCATGATTTTTGTTTTTCTTTGAGCCCAATAACAATCCTTTTCTTTACCTAGGTCAGAGTTCTTTTTAG